CGCTGGCTGTTTCTCCTCAGTCCCCCAGCTCTCACACCTGTGTGGAGACAAACACAAACCCCACCTTCCTGCCATTTCTTCAAACCACATTCCGATCTCTTCCTTCCTGTTCACTGCCAGGTTTCTTGGGAAAGGCATTTCTACTTCCTGATATTCACAGGATATAACATCTTCTGTCAAGAAGCAAGCAAGCTTCGGTCATCGTCAGCCAGAACACAGGAAAAAGCCTACCCTGTATGTCTCTCTTCATTGTTGCAACACAGCATCAGGAACAGTTCCTGTGATGGAAGTCTTGAGGAATCCCAGAGCTGCCTCTTGGAGGCATTAGGGACCAGCCTTACATGCTGATTAGAATTCAAAACCCCTGAATGGACAGCCCGAGGGTGGGAATGGAACACCAGAATGAGTATCAGTAGTCAGGGGAGTGGTGATGTTAGTTGGGGGCAGTACCCTTTAAAGCATATAATGGAGAAGATGAAATTTGGGCAGCTGAGACTGTAACTTAATTCTGTAGCATATAACCAACCCCATGTAGGTAAGCTTTTCATGGGGGACTGGGGTCATAGAATGGCCCTGGCTAAGGGAACCAAGCAAATGCTCTAAGACCAGAAAGCAGCAGAAGTAGTTGGAACCTCTTCTGTCAAAAGGTACTTCCCTCAAACCATAAGAAATTGGCTTTGTCACCTACCTTTACACCTCAGGCTCTTTCGAAAGTGGGATAATGGAACATCAGAGGAAGAAACTCTTGTATCTCCAGAAGTCTTTCTTTTTAAGGGAAACAATATTTTCCATCAAATAAAAGATAAAAAGCTGAACTCTGTGGCTCAGCCTGTAATCCCAGCACTTTGGGAGGCTGAGGCGAGTGGATTCCCTGAGCCTGTGAGTTCAAGACCAACCCGGGCAACTTGGTGAGACCTCGTCTCTACAATAACTAGAAAATTAGCCAGGAGTGGTAGCAAGTGCCTAGTTTTGGCTACTTGAAAGGCTGAGGTGGAAGGATCGCTGGGGCCCAGTGGGTTGACTCTGGGGTGGCCGTGAGTTTGCCACTGCACTCCTGCCTCGGCAACAGAGACTCCAACTCCAAAAAATAATATTAATAATAATAAAAGAGAAAAATAAGGAGAAAGAAGAAACATAAGGTGGCAAGGACAATCTTCTACTCAAGCGGTTCTGGCATCCATTTCCACACATTCTTGACTCAGTATTCCTGGATGTTGTCTGTCATGCTAAACCCCCTTCTCAGATACCTCCCTCAGTCTCCTTCCAAGTGTTTCATTCTCCAAAGTCACTTAATTCTCCAATCAAAATATCAGAGCCTGCATACTCAGTTCAGAGTTATGAACTGCCAAAATACACATGCTAACCAACCAAAAAAAAAAAAAATCAAACATAGATAAAGTAAACAATAAGTGGAGATGAGAATAACTCAATATTCTTATCCAAGAGGGATTTGACCTAATTCTCCTTGTGATAGAGGAATTTCTTGTTGAGGATTTTAAGAGTATACGGGAAAAACAATGTGTGAAGGCTAAGGATGTGAATGAACCTATAAGAGAGTACTTAACCCATTTTTCATGTAAAAAAATAAAAATGCATTATAGATAATAGGGCTGTCTCCTGAACGTTAAAGCTCTTGGATGGAGGGACCATGTCTGTTTTGTTCCCCCGCTGTATTTATATTCCTCTGCACCCAGGAAGGTGCCTGCTGTGTAATGATACTAAATGTCTGTGTTGCGATTAGCTGGGTAAATGGATAGTTTCATTTTAATGTAATGGTTTTAGTTCAAAATGCTCATAAATTAGTTATTTCTTGTGGATTATTGCTTTTTTATTTGCTCCTCCTTCTAATACTCAATGCCTTCTGTTTTATGTGTTGGAGTCTTCCACTTCCCGTATCCTGAATGAATCCCAGAGATGGAAGGCACCTTGGATATTTGTGATGGGAAGGGGTTTAGATCGCCTTCGTTTGACTTGCTTATTTCACTGGAATGGAATAGCATTTTTTAACTCCATCCTGTCCCCTCCACACCAAGGCAGCCTGTGGAAATAGTGTCCCCACGCTTTGCTATCTCCCTTGCAGGCACCCCTTCTTCTCAGTGCTGGGATTCCCTAGGTCCCAGTCCTAATTCTGTTTCTCTCCTTTTCCTCTATTGTCTTTTTCTAAGTGATCTCACTCCTTCCTGTGTCTTCAAAAACCAAACACATGCAGTTGACTCCCAAATACATGTCTCTAGCCTTGACCTATTGAAGCTCCAAATCTGTATACTCAGTCTCCTACTTAATGTTTTTAGCTGAATGTCTTGCAGGTAAAACAAGTCATGTTACTAAGTCCAAAATGGAACTTCTCATTTTCACCCCTCTTTTTTTTTTTTTTGGCAATCAAGTGAGTAGTTCTTCCTCCATGACAACACCCCTGCCCACACCACACTGAGTGTTCAGCAGGTTTTGACCAAAAGCAGCATGACCCCCATGCCTCACTCTCCCTATTCACCCAATTGCTCCTGGAGTGACTTTTATTTGTTTCACCAGATGAAAAAAATTTCTCAAAGGGAAATGTTACACTGATGTGGAAGAGGTGAAACAAAAAACAGCAGAAGCACTAAAAGGCATCAAAATTGATGAGTTGAAAAACTGTTTTAAGCAGTGGAAAAAGTGTCTTATAAGTGTATTGCATACAATGGAGAGGAGAGTACTTTGAAGGTGACTGAAGTTTAAAAATGTAAGAATAGCTGGGCTCGGTGGCTCAGCCTGTAATCCCGCACTTTGGGAGGCTGAGGTGAGTGGATTGCCTGAGCCGCGGGTTCGAGACCCACCTGGGCAACTTGGCGAGACCTCATCTCTACAATAAATCAACTAGCTGGGCATGGTAGCGCGCGCCTGTAGTTCCAGCTACTCGGAAGACTGAGGCGGAAGGATCGCCGGAGCCCAGCAGGTCGAGGCTGCGGTGGCCGGGAGTGGCCACTGCACTCCAGTCTGGGTGACAGAGTGAGACTCCAACTCAAAAAAAAAAAAAAAAAGTAAGAATAAATACACATTTTTTAATAAATAAATTTACAAGAGTAAAATATTTTTTAAAAACTCAAGAATAAACACACCTTTTTAATAAATAAATTTCAAATGATAAAGTTTTTGTGTCTCCCCTCGTATTTGGGGCATTTTAAACAAAACTCATGGCCACCAGATACTCCGCTGCATCTCTGTGCCCAGCCCAATGGCTTCCACCCCGCTTCTTACTGCCTGCTGTTCTCAACCAGTTCTCCTAATCTGCCCTATGTTGGTACATTGCTCTGCACAGTATATAGTACTATACCAGTGTATTGAATATGTTAAAATCACCTACCCAGCCGCTCAAGCTACAGAACCTTCTTTTTGTCCTCCACCTCTAACTCATAAGCAAGTATCATCATTTTTGGCTCCAAAACAAACCTCGCGTCTGCCTATTTCCTTTCAGTTCTACTCTTAGCATCTGAGTTGAAGCTACCCTCACTCTTTGTCCAAACGAAAACCACAAACTCTTCCTGTGACCAGTCTTGCCCTTGGAGAACTAGTCTCTACACAGCGACGACAGTGGCCTTTATAAACAAGAAACCTGTAGCGTCAATGCCCTCTCCACCTTCAATGGGTGTTGACCCCATATACTTGGAACACAAAGAAAAGTCATCATTGCAACTGTAAGGCCCTCCTCAAAGTATCCCCTTCATACCTATATGGGTCCCCTTCCTCTTCAGGCTCATGCTGTGCACACATGTTAAGTGCTGGCCATCTGATTGTTCCTAAACATGATGAGAACCAGGCTTGGTGGCTCTGCCTGTACTCCCGCGCCTTGCGAGGCTGAGGTGAGTGGATTGCTTGAGTCCGCGGGTTCGGGACCCGCCTGGGCAACTTGGCGAGACCTCATCTCTACAATAAATCAAAAATGAGCCGTGCGTCGTGCGCGCGCCTGTAGTTCCAGCTACTCGGAAGGCTGAGGCGGAAGGATCGCTGGAGGCCAGCAGATCGAGGCTGCAGTGGCCGGGAGCGTGCCACTGCACTACAGTCTGGGTGACAGAGTGAGACTCCAACTCAAAAAACAAACAAACAAACAAAAAAATGAGAGCCCTCTTGTCCCAAGGCTTTGGAAATTGCTGTCTCCTCAGCCTAGAATGCTCTTTATCTACTTCTTTTTTTGGTTTTGTTTCTGTTTTGACAAGTTACAAGCATATAACAAACACTGTGTACCTACTACTGAAAATTAATAGCTGTTAACCTTTTGACTTTTTTTGCATTTTAATATAAAAAAAAAGAACAGTTAAAGTTCCCTTTGTTTTCCCATGTTCCTCCCCAGGATGAGGAAGAGATATTACATGTTTCCGACCCTGCATCCATTTCTCTCTTTCTTCTGCCACACTCAACCTTGATATTGTTAAGGAATTCATGCGCCTCAGCTCTCACCCCCATCCTATATTCCAGCACCCTCATGTGTCTCCCAGAAGTCAACTACAACCTGTGTGGGCCTGCAGACAAGAGGCTAAGTTTCCTGGAGGCTATGTTCCATTGTGTCCCAGGCTACCCAGCAGGGAACCTGTGACACTTCTAGAGGCTCCTATGTCATTCTCCTGCCTTCAAAGTATGGCTTTAGAGAACTGGGGTGGAACCAGAGGGGCCAGGCTCTTTGAATTTCTGACCCAATACCAAGGCATGAACTCAATGGTGTTCTTATTTGTTCAGTCTTTGTAATCTGTCATCTGCTTATTTAGTATAGCCATCTGACCTAAACTAAAAACATCAACATCATAAACAGATGGAAACTCGATCTCTTAAGTGTCTCATGCCTCTCCTCCCCCAAATGAAAGAAAAATGATTTTTTATTCTGTATCTATATTTGATGAGTGTATTATTTTATCATGGTTGTGTGTGTGTTTAAATTTGGTGCTATGACAGACTTCTACAAGGGGAAGTCTCTGTTCAGTTATAAAATGTTTAAAATCCCGAGTCAGAACTGACCTCTCTGTCTCTCCTCTCTGCATGTAGGTTGTGGCATGTTTGCCTTCCTGTCGTCTGTTACAGCTGCTGTCAGTGGCCTTCTGGTGGGTTACGAACTCGGGATCATCTCTGGGGCTCTTCTTCAGATCAAAACCTTGTTAGCCCTGACCTGCCATGAGCAAGAGATGGTTGTGAGCTCTCTCCTCATGGGGGCCTTCCTGGCCTCGCTCATTGGTGGGTTCCTGATAGACAGGTATGGAAGAAGGACTGCAATCATCTTGTCCTCCTGCCTACTGGGACTCGGAAGCTTGGTCTTGATCCTCAGTTTATCTTACACGGTTCTCATTGTGGGGCGCATTGCCATAGGAGTCTCCATCTCCCTCTCTTCCATTGCCACGTGTGTCTATATCGCAGAGATCGCGCCTCAGCACAGAAGAGGCTTTCTTGTGTCCCTGAATGAACTGATGATTGTCATTGGCATTCTTTTTGCCTATATTTCAAATTATGCCTTTGCCAACGTTTCCCAAGGTTGGAAGTATATGTTCGGTCTTGTTATTCCCTTGGGAATTTTGCAAGCAATTGCGATGTACTTTCTTCCTCCAAGCCCTCGGTTTCTGGTGATGAAAGGACAAGAGGAAGCTGCTAGCCAAGTTCTCGGAAGGTTGAGGGCAATCTCAGATATAAGCGAGGAACTCACTTTGATCAAATCCTCCCTGAAAGACGAGTGTCAATATAGTTTTTGGGATCTGTTTCGTTCAAAGGATAACATGAGGACCCGAATAATGATAGGCCTGACGTTGGTATTTTTTGTACAAGTCACTGGCCAACCAAACATACTATTCTATGCATCGACTGTTTTGAAGTCAGTTGGCTTTCAAAGCAATGAGGCAGCCAGCCTTGCCTCCACCGGGGTTGGGGTCGTCAAGGTCATCAGCACCATTCCAGCCACTCTTCTTGTAGACCACGTGGGCAGCAAAACCTTCCTCTGCATTGGCTCCTCTGTCATGGCAGCATCGTTGCTGACCATGGGCATCGTGAATCTCAACCTCCACATGAATTTCACCAATCTCTGCAGAAGTCTTGGTCCCATCAACCAGTCCCTGGATGAGTCTGCATTTTATGGACCGGGAAACATGTCTGCCAACAACACTCTCAGGGAGCACTTTAGAGGGATCACTTTCCACAGCAGAAGCTCACTTATGCCCTTGAGAAATGACAAGGATGAGAAACAGGAGGGGACCTCAGCATCCCTTCTAAATGCTGCACTAAGCCACACTGAATCCCAGATTGCCACAGACCCTGAGGACGTCCCGGCTTTTATGAAATGGTTGTCCCTAGCCAGCTTGCTTGTTTATGTTGCTGCTTTTTCCATTGGTCTTGGACCAAGTAAGTACTCTATTCTTTATTCCTTCCTCCTCTGCCCTACAAATGGGGATGTATTGCTTCTGGTCAGTCAGATCCTCGTACCGTAATTGCGCCTAGCACTTGTAAGTGCTAGAAGCAAGACGAGGATGATGTTGACTGTCTGATGTATCTGCTAATACAGAAAGTATGCTGGGCTTATATTTGCTTCTGAAAAGTGCAGGGGCTAGGCTCGGTGGCTCAGCCTGTCATCCTAGCACTATGGGAGGCCGAGGCAAGTGGATTGCTTGAGCCCGTGGGTTCAAGACCAGCCTGGGCAACTTGACGAGACCTCGTCTCTACAATAAATCAAAAATGAGCCGGGAATGGTAGTGCATGCCTGAAGTTCTGCCTACTTGGAAGATTGAGGTGGAAGGATCGCCAGAACTCAGCAGGCTGATGCTGGGGTGGCTGTGAGTATACCACGGCCCTCCAACCTGGGTGATGGAATGAGACTCCAACTAAATAAAAAAAGTGCAGGGCAAATATTTAGCTAAAGGATATATTTCCCACTATCTGCCACATGAATATACTTTAACTCCAGTTGACTGGGGATGAACCAGACCTGAAAGATGTGTATTGTCCATGGGAAGTACATTGTTTTACAAAGAGAAAATTTACCGGGGTAACGTTTTCCTCCGTATAATACTTTAATTTCTCCACAGGTGGAAGAAAACCAAGTGTTTAGATTTTCTTAAAGACACAATAGTGGCTGCACTCCAGCAATAGTGAGGAGAGAGGGAATTAGGAGTTGGGGAGGGAGATGCCTCATTTTTTTGAGGACAATTGAATTCATTACAGCAGCCTCCCGGGATACTCCCCTCCATTAGACAGGAGAATGGGAGCCTAGTCACAATTTCTAGGGAGATGGCTATGAATTATTTTTACGTAACCAGCAGCTCTAAGGACAGAATGTAGTCACTTCTCTTGGGCAAACTCTTCGAGATAGGTCTGCTAGAGTAAGTCATTTGTGGTTCCCTATAATCTTTTAGCTTCACACCCAAAGCCTGGCCCTCTCTGTAAGGGGGTTGTGATGGGTCTTTTGTACACTTCACTAGAAGAAAAGGGCTTAAAAATCAAGGGTAGTCTCTCTCTACTGCCCCACCTCCTATCCCCATTCCTCTCTCTCTTTTATTTCTCTCCCTCTCTTTCTCTTTCTCCCTCAGTGGGCCAGTAAGAAGACATGGGCTGTGTTGAAGGAGGAATTTCATAGAGAATTGCAGGACTCTTGTGCCAGGTATTAGAGAGGGGATCTGGAAAGAAAGCCTTGGAAGGGCTTGGTCTAGTTTTCCACTGCTAACTCATTAACTGTTCATTCAAGTGAGATGTATTGAGTGGCTATTTTTTTCTTTTTTTGAGTCGGAGTCTCACTCTGCTGCCCAGGCTGGAGTGCAGTGGCATGCTCATGGCCACTGCAGCCTCTACCTGCTGGGCTCAAGTGATCCTTCTGTCTCAGCCTTCCAAGTAGCCATCATGCACGGCTAATTTTTTAAAAATTTATTGTAGAGATAAGATCTCGCCATGTTGCCCAGGCTGGTCTCGAACCCATGGAATCAGGCAATCTTCTCACCTAGGTCTCCCAAAGTGCTGGGATTATAGGGGTGAGTCACCGCACCTGGCCTGACTATTTTTTAAATAACCAAGAACTGTGCTAAATGCTGAGGAAATGGTAACGAACCAGACAGACATCATTTTCCCTGTCTTCAAGGAGTTTATAGTTCAATGGATCAAGCTACACTCTCTAGGTCGTCGGCATCTTCTTATTTCTTTTCCCCCACCTCCCCCTCTTCTCCTTCTGCCTCTTCTTCTTCCTCTCTTCTTCCTCCTCCTTCTTTTTTTCGAGACAGGGTCTCACTTGGTTACCCAGGCTGGAGTGCAGTGGCACACTCACAGCTCACCGCAGCCTCAACCTCCTGGGTTGCCCAGGATGGTCTCGAACTCCTGGATTCAGGAAATCTTCCTGCCTCAGCCTCCCAAAGTGCTGGGATTACAGGGGTGTGAGCCACCATGCCTAGTCTTGGGTCTGCTTCTCTCTGGTCAGCAACCAGTAGGCTAGACCTGCTTCATCTCAATTAATAACTAGGATTGCACATGACTGATAGGTCCTCTCCTGCCCCAACTCTCCTCCCTTATCTCTCTGTTTCTGCTCCCACTTCTAAGTGCCTCAGTTTTAAATTCCAGAGAGCAGGGTTGGAGTGAATCTGACTGACTCTACTCTTTGCTGTGTCAAGTCAGAGGTGGAAGATCAGGATTAATTGGCAGTGGCAGAATTGAACCCTACGGCCAAAAACACTGATGACCAAATGCCAACCCTTTCTCTGCACTCTGAGTAGACGTATTCCCCATATAAGACTGAGCATGGGCAGATAGAGTCAACACGACCCTACCATTAGTCTGCTATCATTCTGATTTGCTTCTGAATCTTAACCCTGCTTTTTAAGAATTAACAATGATAAACATCATTAACGAACAGTTTTCCGGAAATGAGTTTCTACTATTATTTCAGGATTCTATTATTTTGGGTGTGAGATACTTATGTAACTACTCTGATACTTTAAACTGATGAAATATGAGCTAGCGTTTTATCTACATTTCTATTTCAAGAAACTCTTCAAAGTCTAGCAGAAGGGCAAGATATGGATGCCATCTTGTACCAAGGAACAACTTAACCTTGTGTGTGAAACTTTTCTAGCGTAACAAGTACAATAAGTTCTGCTCACTTAATAAACTTCAGGTGGTAACTGTTGTTCCATTGATTCCCTTTGCCAGTAACTTTTTTTCTTATATACTCATCATAAAACAAAAAATATTTCCTTTTTACATCAATTTTCTTAGTCCGATATTTTGAAATATCAAGAATCAACTAAGCATCTTAGAAAGTTTAGTAAAAGGTAGGGTACCTGCATAATGAACATTTGTATACCTAACCCTGAATTGTACCCCACGTCTTTAAAATTAAAAAACTTAAGAAAAAGAAAGTTTAGCAAAAGGAAAAGGGAACACTCTTTGTTTTAATTTTCAGAGACTCTCTCAGTTTGAAAGAGTTTATGTCATGGCACATATTATAATATAATATAAACTATGTAATATAATATATAAATTATACATTATAAATTATATTATGTAACATATATAATAATATAGTATTCTAGTATATATTATTATGGTATATTCTATTATTTTATTTTATATTCTAATATAAAAGACATCGAGAAGGTACCTGGCCTAGCGCTGGAGAAGTCCACCCCGTTGAGGGGAACCTGAGGGCAACAGTAAGGTGCATGGCTACAGTGGTGGCCAGGACCCTGTGCCAGTCCTCAACATGGGGCTGCTGTGTCACTTGGGCCTTCCAGATCTCAGGCACATTTCTTCTCCTGCCAACCCTAATTCAGAACTATGCAGGAAATGGGGTTCTGGGAAACACAGGGCCAGCTTAGCTAAGTGACAGCATAAAACCACCACAGTAATAAACTCTGGACTTAGAAGAGAGGTGAACATGAGGAAAAACATTTCAAAGGGCCCTGAATTCAGTCTTCAGTTACTGATAGACTTAAAAAAAAAATTAAACTCATTAACATGTATGACTAGCTTTTATTCCATCTACTTCTAAAACCAGGAGGTGAGTTTGTTTTATTATTGTCTTCTGGCCTTCTGTTTCTTTAGCTATAAACCCCCAAACACCCTTTTGCTAATGCATTATAAAGGCTTTCATGTTTGTTTTCTCAGGAATGTTAATTATCTCCCTTGAGCTGGTGACTCTTATCTCCAGTTCTGTTGGCTCACATGACTTCTGGTTTCTTTTTTTCCCATGAGTACTAGACTTTACTGTCAGCCCAATACAAGAAGTCCGGTGCTGAATTTCTCCCCGCCTTATGCCAGGGTCCTTTACCACTTCCCTTCCTTTTCCAGGGCAGGCTCTCTTTCAGTCACTTAAGTCTGGTGCTGGGTTGTTTTTTTTTTTTTCCATTTTAGTCAATGAACAAATACTCTTGAATTTTCCTACATAAGTGGCTCTTGTGCTTATGGTTTCCTTCCTATTTCTGCCATCCTAGTCTGCCCCTTATGGTCTCATTCCTAGATAACTGGGTGACCCTTCCAGGAGTCGTCATCCATCTCAGGCCCTTCTCAAGCCCACCTATCCTCTAGACCAGTGTCAAACTAAAATGAGTGGCAGAGAGCAATCCTCCAAAGCAGAGCTTAATCGGGACTAGCAGGAGGATTGCAAACCCGCTATATGTGTGCTATAATATAGGCATATGCAGGGGGGTCAGGGCCAAGGGGAAGATTTAAAAGATAAAAAGAGGAAGTCCATGTGAACTGTTACAAAGGTTGCAGAAACCAGAGGTAAAGGGTTTGTTACAGGTGTTGGCATTAGCTTGTTGGTTGAGGCTACCGTAACAACGCAAGAGCCCTTGTATAAACAGATGATCTGGGGTAGTCTTGGCTTTCCTTACGACAAGGCCTGTTACAGGAAAAACATGTAGTATGTGTAGAAATCCCTTGTGACATGGCAGATTACAGACATTTGTGAGAAATCGCCTTCTTTCATGCCTTCCCGACTCTATTTTGTTAGGTTTTGACATAAATGACTTCATTTTGTACCAGCAACTTTCACATCAGTATTCCTTAAATTTCATTTTCTATATCATCGATGGTCACAAATCTTCTATGCCTTCCTATTTTCTATCACATCGTAGAGGTCAAATGCCAGGCATGGTGGCTCATGCCTGTAATCCCAGCATTTTGGGACACGGAGGTTGGAGGATTGCTTGAGCCCAGGAGTTCAAGACCAGCCTGGGCAATATCATGAGACCTTGTCTCTACTAAAAAATTAAAAAAATTAGCCCAGCGTGGTGGCATGCGCCTGTAGTCTCAGCTACTCAGAAACCTGAGGCAGAAGGATCACCTGAGCCCAGGAGATCGAGGTGAACTGTGATCGTGCCACTGCACTCCAGGCTGGGCAACAAAGTGAGACTCTGATTACA